AGGAATTGGAAGTGAAGAGATTCCGGTTGGATTAAATCGCCACAGAAGCGAGTTGCTCCTGTTTGAAAGGAAGCCTCCACGATGATGACGAAGCATCAAAGTGCTGGATTCAGTGACTCATGCCTCAAAATTCTGGTGGAACATGCTCACTCTACCACACAAAACGAGATAAATCCTCTTTTTCAGTAATTTTGCGTGTTGTGTCTTATCAACCAAATTATAAAATTAAAAAAATAAAACTCTGGGGAGTTTGATAATGGGAGTAAATCCAACTTTGTATTGCTGGATGATAAATTAGGACATCGTTTATTGCTATTTGACACAGTAGTTGTTAGTTGGATTAATTAAATTACATGGAAATCTTGATAAGGCAAACATGAGAAACTCTGACCTTTTACGACAACCGAAAGTAGAAACAGTAATTAAAAAATAAAAAAATGTTGAAAAAGTGATTGGTGCGGTCCTGAAAAGTGGGCTACTTGCTTCAGAGACTCAGGAAACTTTCTTTTTTCGAGGTCAGGTACAGTTTACCGCGAAAATTTCTGACAAAGGACTTGCCAGGGAAAGTACTGCCACAAGTAGTATGTAATTAATTGTGGTTGACGCAACCAACTCATACAAATCTAGATCACGTACCAAAATATATGCTTCTTTAAACTCTGCAATAACCAATAAGGGACCATCTGGCAGTGTTTACAAAATGAAGCAAGTATTTTTATGAGAATTTCTTTATCTATTTAAATGTTTATCTCTCTACCAGGAAGTACCTAGCCCTATGGTTAGAGTATTTACAAGCCCATTGAAACCCAAAAAATTTTCTATCAGAAAAGAGTGAGCTGACCAGCTTTAACCCCATTTTATTGTCCGGTGTAACTCGCGCTCGGGAGACAATTGTTTAAATAAGTACCTGACAGGGAAGTCACGCTACTTGCCCCGAAATCACAAGACATCAGAATACTTGAGACTTTGTACAATCAATTTTCGAATACGTAATAACGATGTCATTGCTGGCGGAAGAATAAGGGCATCGCTGCGCATTAAGAAACAGAAACCAACCGTTTTAATGACCTTTAGTCCGAATTCTAAAAATTTGTTTTGTAACAACTTTAATTTTATTTGAATCATTCAATTTATTTTAAGTTTAGGCTGCAACATGATCGAGAAGATCGGCTATGATAATTAGGCGAAACTTGTGATCCTTTTTGCGTTGTATCTCGTCTCATGTTCTCTCAGCCTGAGAGACGAGGCAAGGCGTTGCAAGGTTAATCCTAAGTACGTCTGTGGTTTCGAAAAAATGGTTGCATAGATTTAAGTAAACGGTTTTCGTTGGCGCATCATGTTGGGAAACACAAAGCACTCTTTCAATTTCGATCAAAATAATAAAAACCTGTTCTGTCCTGTTCGACGCGCAAACCCGCATGCCGGTCGTCTGGGTTTGTTTGTCCCTGGGCAAGCTGCCCTCGCATCGCATGTGAGCAGGAAAAAAACTGCGGAACGTCTCCTTCTGCCGCCTTTGAGCCACTTGAAATTTTCGGATTTTCCTTTTCCGTCGCTTGAATGTGATTAAACACATTTTTCTCCCAAATTTAGTTATGGTGAGTTTATTAGGATGCTATTCGCGTAACGTGCCTGGTCAAGCTTTGCCGACTATTATTGAAACCAGGCGGCATAGAATTAAAACGACATTTTCTAAATTTTTGTTCACAATTCCAGAAATGCTTTGTGGAATTTCTTAAAATATTTGACACACATTTTGCTAAAGTGTTATTGATTTGTATTAAAGAGTTTACGTAAAACACTTTAGGTTTAAAATAAAATATGAGGATGAATGGTCTCACATTTTGCAATTGGCAAGATCATAGAGTATTCACTAGGTCTAACTATTATTAACCAGTCGTTATTCCTTATTTCTTGATTTTTAACTTGATGAGCATATTTTTCACCCCTAATCTCACACAGACGAAATTCTGCAAATTTTTGAACTTTTACGTTAATTCTTATCTTAAATTTCTACGTAATGGTTAAGCCTTAAACCACATGGCAATATACTCTAGAGTAGTTAGCTATCCAACAAACTTACAAAATTATTTGACTTAAGCCATTTGGAATCAGTGCCCAAATAAGCTACCTTAAAGTGTGAGTGAGTGCAACATCGTCTCCATCTCGTGGAATTTTCGGTTAGAATGTATAATAGGCTGTTTAGATTTTGCCGTGAGCTCGACCTGTAGACTTAACTTCTGTTTCTACAGGGATCTTAGTCTGCATACATAATTAGACTTTAATTCAAATGAAAAATAAAAGTTAACTTAAGAGTTCCAGTGAAGTCAATTACTTTCACACACAAAATTAGCAAATGATCCGTAATTAGTTACATTGTCAGATCCCTTAAAGATGTTATTAGGTAAAAACTAACATTCAATGAAACGAGCTTAAAGATCCCCGTCACTATAAGCACTTGTGGATTATAAAAAGTATAAATCAATACAAGATCTTGTAATACAATTAAAGATGTTTTAAACTATTTAAGTTTTAAACAGCTTTAGAAGAAACAATGAATAACTTAAGCCTCAGAATATTAGTGTTTTTATACAATACGACTGTTTTTCGTGGCTCAAAATGTGTGTCTATAGAAGATAAAACTTGTTGGACGGCATGTGAAAAGTGGAATTACACAAAAGATGGCAGGATACTCACGCCATGATAAATTCCACTGTGTGTTCTTCCCAACATCATTTAGGTACTGATGCTTTTTGCAAACTCGCCACAGTCCGGAATGAAGGGTGATGAGATAGGTGCCGTTTGAGGCCTCGTCTGGTTCCCGCTCAACTGTGAAGAGCCAAGAGTCCATGGAAAGTGCACAGAATAGGAGCAGGACAGCCAAACTACCTGCAACCCAGCTCGTCCCCACAAGTAGGCTCTTCTGTCCAATTCGGATGGCCAGGAGTTCATCCCACAGGGGACGCAGGACGTCTTCGGTGGCTCTCATGTTAGCAGGTCGGCATCAGGTCGGCCACTGCCACAGTGCACATCACACTCCCTCTCCGGCCCGAATTTCTTTTCCTCAACGGCAGCGGTTATGATTGGGGATCGAAAGTGCGCACGTGCCATCTCTTGAAGAGCATGCACGAGCGCGCGCCCACACGGTCTTGAATCCAGCATTGGCGTGGACGTGGTGATGCGATTTAGCTTACGTTACTCATCTAACCGCGGTCGTCGTGAATTGCAACTTCTAAGCCTTTGTTTTGCCAAATCCCTTATGGCGAAACAGCCGTACTCAATACGACACGCGAAATCCGTGTCCTGTTGATAAATGGCTTTTTGCTTACTTTTCATAATATCTCTATAACATCAAACCACATATCTTAAAGTCTATTTTTTTCCGCCTTTGCTTTCAATATATACCGAGGACTATGAAGGGTCAGGAATCTGAGGTTTTGGCTAAAATTAGGGTTAATTAAGATTAAAATTTCCTTTTCATTTCTGTAAACTATAGAATCACGTTTTCCTTCTTTTTTCTTACCTTCTCAGAGCCTTTTTAAAGCCAAACCAGTGGTTCATCGATTTTGTCTTTGGTCATGTTTTGCCGAAAAGGGTCGTAATATTGAATGTAAAATGCATCCATTCTGGTGTGAGCCCACTGAATGGCTCCCGTAATCCCCTCCTTCGCATGCTAGTGAAACCTACTTTATTCTTAAGTGTGCGCTTAAATAGCATAAATTGTGTTCAAGGTAGTTGAGCTTCGGGTTGTGCTGCTCTTCACATTCAAAACATGGTTTAATAAGTAGGTGTGGAATAAGTTGCCTAAACTTGTGCGGAAGAGTACTACAACCAATTGTCTCACTTCATTTTCAGTCTCATGTCATGCTAGCGTTATTCAAAATTACGCTACCCATAAGGACAACGGCAAATCATTCTGAACGCACCTGCCTGCTTTATTTGTTAAGGTCTTGAGTTCCAATTGGTACTCTTATACACCCTCAAGTAAGATGATTGCTGAAACCTAATATCCTCCCAAGGGCAAATGACTATGATGCGGCTCAATTAATCTCCTGAAGCGGGCCAATTATCAGCTGAGCACCACACATGTACAGTTGTTTTGTGAAATTAAATACACTTTCATGTATTCAAAACCAATAACAGAGTGGTTTGAAATCTATTCAACTAGTTGATTCATCCATTTTCACATAAATTCCAGCAACTTTTTACCATTAGGAAGCGAGGTTGTATCAAGGCGATGTCTCTTTTATGCTTGCATTATTTTAACTACCAGTTACCTAAATGCGTCTTGAGTCCAAATGACCTTAAAATACTGTGTTTACGATAATTTTGTGTTCTGGGTTAATATTCGAAGTGGAAAATGAAAAGGTACATTTTCGCCACGTTATTCTACATGGTGCTAAAAAGGAGTGCTGACAATGCAGTAAAATGTGTAATGCTTTTTTTGGCGTTGGGCTCCTCTTTCTTAGTCACAAGGTTCTGCTCTCCGTTCCAAGTTGTGTTCTTCAATCAAATGAAAACTTCGCTCTGGGTGAATTCCCGGGATAAATAATGACATTGTCCATGATTCGGTAAATGATAATTCCTGCACTACTGCCTAAAGTTTGCCAAAAGAATAAATGTTGACCACTGGACCGCATGTTTCCATTTCAAGCAACTCGGGTGCCTTTTGGAACTCAATTTATGGATCTTCGCAAGTTTTGGTTGAACCGAAAGACTGAACCCTGCTTTCACAGCCAGTCTTCCCCTCGCCCCTCAACATAGCGAGCATCTCCTTTTTAAGTCATAAATAAATACGAAACGTGTTTTGTGTAAAACGACATAATAAGAAAACAAAACTAGAAACAAGGAATAAAAGGAGCAAATTGAAGTCCAAAAACTGAATAAGTTCATTGAAAGTGATGTTATACGTTTGGTGGTGGTAATGCAGAGAAATACTTTTTCCGAACTTCTTCTACATGGCCAAACAACAATTGTGGAGAGTTGTTGTTAGCAGAATACACCACAAAATTGTGAAATTAGGGGAACATCGTCTTCCAGTAGGACAACGCTAGACCACATGCCGCCCAACTGACATTGTAAAACTTCGGGAATTAAACTGGGGAATTCTCCAGCACCCTGAACTTCCCAGAAGATTTCCATCTGTTTCATTTTCCGCAACACAACTCAAACGGCAAACGATATGATTCTGTTGGAGAAGTCAAAGGCCATCCAACGAATTTCTTTGAAGGTAAGCAATTCGGTGTCGGCAAGGGAAGATTTCACTAACTTGTGAATCATCGGTAAACACTTGAAGAAAATGCTAAAAGGTAGAGAATTTATTATTAAATAATGTTTTTTTCATGAAAATATGCTGTGTTTAATTTGGTCTCAAGTCAGCCAGAACCTTTGCAATCACCCAGCATTATTTTAATTCAAGCATAATTCCACGCAATCAGTCTTAAAAAAGTCAACATAACAAAAATAGTCTTTGACAGACATTTAACTTGTCAACTTTGCAAGACATAATTTACGACTCATTTCCAGTATTGTAAGTTTAATCAGGCAAATTTAGGTTTGGTTTGAAGAAATGGCGTCTCGTAATAGTGAGCACCAGGGCAGTAACAAATAACATGTACAGAATATTTGGCCTTAAATTAAAGCACAATGCAATGAAAAAATTCAAATTATTTTTTCATCGCGTGTTAACACGCCCTTTTAGTAGCAAATAAGACCTTCGACTTGTACGTAGGCTGCGAGCCACAATTAAACAGAACGAAAAATTGCTGTCGCACGCACTTTGACGACTCTCGTCCCTAATTTTTTCTTTTACACGGAAAGTTTAAGAGGTGAAATTTTTCTCCTAGCACCAAATCGTGCAAAGCCTGGCACATTCTTTTTCCAAATTCACAAATTTATTCGGGTAGATATTTTTGGTATTTATCCACAGACGACAAATACATGAACGATTTCGGTTCACTAGTTAAATTTGTGTGATTCTTGGTGTATGTGTATTAAGTAGCTCTTTGGTTGCGTGAATTAACTATTCACAATCTAAAATAAACGCCCTTCATTAATCAGTTTTAAGGAAACCCGTCTCTTTTTAATTAGCATCACCACGAAAGCAATATTTTGGGGCACAGGTATCCTTGCAAAAAACTAAGAATTTCGGGGCAAAATGATAGAATTGGCCGGGGGCTTCGGTCGTTCTTGCCTTGAAACCCATCAGATAAGTTTAACACCGTGGAATGCTGTGCCTTCAACCGACAGATTTAGGGGTCCTTTGACCATATATTTGGGACAATTTTAGGAATGCTAATAGTACAGTCAGGCTTGAAATGAATCAGAATTTATAGCTGGGCTCAGGTATGTAACACCAACGTCCATGCACCAAAATACATTACTCGAGGTACAAAACAAACAACGTACGTTTTAACTCTGATGTAAATACGCATTATGCAGATATTAACTGATTAAATTGACGTAAGTAACCCTATGTTACTTGGACTAAATGGCTCATGCTTTAACAGAAACAGAGAGTTTTGTCTGCGTGAGATGACTTTAGTGTTTTGTGATAAAACTGACTTACCTCATTTCAGTGCAATTTCGTCTCTTGCTGATCGGGGTTTAGACACCATTGGCACAAATATCCATGTGCGGAGAACTTTGAGGGTCATGTTTTGGTGATTGGTGGTTCCACTCTTTAATGTGAAACCTCTTGGGACAAATAGCAGAAAGTATCATTTTAATGAAAACCTTTTTAAATGTGATCACCTTAACTGCAGGCAAGAATAAAAACCCTAACAAACCAGTCACAACCGCGGGAAAAGTTCGGAGGGTGGACACCGGGTTCTGATCCGAAGCAGATCGAATAAAGCGTGCGCGAAGTCACACATTAAGGAAGTGATTAAAATTGTTGCGATGTTTTGTTTTGGTCGCAACCTATCAATTCGAGCCTAATTTGGATCATCATTCTCTATAGTTAACATCGAAAACTTTTATTTGATTCCGTTATTTCCTTATAATGGGATCCTGTCTTTATTTGAAGCTTTCTACTCTAGATCAAGGCAAACCCTTAAATCTACAATAATATTTTATTCGGTTTTGTGTTTTGAAGTGCTGCATTAGCACAGGTTTTTGTTCTTCTAGACAATTTTAATAGACCAATTAGTAGCTGTTTCCAATATTACTTATTACAAGGTCAATTCTGTGGAACATACCACCATAATGACCTGATGGTGGTGAAGTGTGACAATTTAAATTTTGTTGGCTTCAGTCGCCCCGAAATCAGTATTGCTTCTATCATCATCCTTTAAATAAATCATCCATGTCCAATCTAACTGAGCATTTGCTTGCATTAGTTGACAATTCTGTGTAGCTTTGTACCGTCGAAATACCTTACTTATAAACTACTGAGAGGTTCTGTAAACAACTAGATCATGAGCACGATTTTTAATAACAACGACAATCACAATTATTTCGCATTACCTCTATAAAACAACAACTATTTAACTTTGGAGCATGCCCACATTGTTCGTGCCCTTAAGTTTTCCTACGCTCCTTCGCATATTTATGGAAATTTTTATGAAAACTGCATCCTGGTTGAATTTTCTTGGGGAGATTTAGAGTCTCTTCAATTAGCACTTTAACAATGTGTTTCCCCAAATAATTAAATTATGCAAACAGAACTTTTTTCTATCCCTATTTAAACTTAGCAACAGTTTCTTGCGTTAAAAAACGCAAAATTATGATCCATCGAAAAAATATATCGATTAAATTTAAAATCAATTGAATAAATCACCGGGGCAAAATAACCAGCAATGTTGACCTCCTTTCTTTTAGCTAGCTGTCATTGGCTGTCCATACAGACTGCATCGATTAACATGAAATTCTGATCAAACTGAAGGAAATGTCACACAGTTATCCGAACAGCTTTATTAGCAATAGTAATGTCTCATTGCATTGTTGAATATAAAAGGAACGCGTACCACATCACAACTGCTCCCCAGT